ACTGTTTTTCACACTTAACGATCATTACAACTTCCCCATGGTCATGTGATCAAAATTCAAAAGCTTGGTAACTGGCATGCATTTATGACAGTTGCAGTTCTTGGGGTTGTGTGATCAGCTTTTGTAATTTTCTAATGAGCAAAATCAATGGGGAGCCAGATTCACTTAACAACTATATTACTAACTTATGAACTGTAGTCCCAAAGGTGCTTTTCCAAAAGGCAACTGGCCTTTCTTGGTTTTTTTCCCCCTTGAAAATGTTTTGCTTTCCATCCAAGAAGCTTCTTCAGTTCTGACTGAATGGTGGGAATGGAAGGATTTTTCCAAGGGAAAAAACCCAAGAAAGTCCAGTTGCATTTTGGAAAAGCATCTTTGGGACAACCATGGCCTGGATAATTGAGAATCTCCATAGACATTTAACAATTAAAGTGATTCACTTAATAACCATGGCAAGAAAGGTTGAAAAAGGTGGCAAAACTCACTTAAAAACTGTTTTGCTTAGCAATTGAAATGTTGGCCTCAATTGTGGTTGTAAGTTGAATACCTGTGTTGAAAGAAAAATCTTAATCAGGGTCCAGTCCAAGCCGGGAATAAACAAAATGGAGACTGCTTTAGAAAGAAGGTTGGAATTTATTGAAGAGCAAAGCCAGACAGAAGCATGGCTCTGAGAAAGCTGACCACATGTTGCTGGGAGTGGTGCGTTTTTACACCTTCTGAGTGTAAAAAAAAACACCTGGAGATTGTTTCCTGTTCCTGTTTGAGGCTTTGTGTTTCCTGTGTCATGTACTTTGACCTGAGTCTGAGTGTTCCCTTTTGGTATTGGTGGGTTAATCCTATTATGTCCCCAAAGGTCATGTCTTTTAGAATTTGGGTGGGGCATGCAGATTTTAGAGGTTTTTGTCTTCCTAATCTCATAGCTTCTAGCTTCCTGGCCCCAACCTTCCTGAATGGATTATTATATCTGCATTTCTAAAAGCTGGTTTCTGCTGAGTTTTCTGACTTGGGGGACAGAGAAGTTTCTGCCTTTTAAAGATCTTCTCCATTATTCCTTTGGATAAATATATTTTGCCTTTTTAATATTTCCCAAAATATTTCATTCTCTGGATTCTTCCTACACCTGTATCACTTTTTTCAGATGAGAATGTCATCTTCACAGGGAATGTCTCTGAAAGGTGGGTGATTTTTTCCCCCTCTCCTTTCCAATGGTGGGATTCAGCCAGTTTACACCACTTAGGCAGAGCCAGTAGCTAAGTTTTTGTTGCCCAGGCCCAGAATGGAGGTCCAGAAGTGGCATCCACACAGAGAACCGGTTGTTCACCTATTTGAATCCCACCACTGCTCCTTTCCCTTGAGTATGAAAAACTGAGGTAGTGACCCTTAATCTCAATGGAAACTGTGGTTTCTTCTATTATGAAAGAAAGGTTCTAAATTCTCAGGATTTCAAGAACACTAAGCATTTTTGTGAGATGCATATCAACACTCCATAATGAGATGCTTTACAGTGGACTTGGTTGTTTAAAGTCAGTTTGTAACACTGATGCTCTCCACACTGAGCTTAGTAAGATGAGAAGTCAAATCTTTGGGACATGAAATGATAATTTACAAAGACCCGATTATCGTTTGGGGTAAATAAGAACTGAATATTTGTATCAGTGAATTTTGGCTATTATTAATATAATCAATTTTGCCTTTGTGTAGGAAAACAAGAATGTAATAACTAAACAGTTAATTGAATGTTGTGAAGAATATAGTATTTTTTTTTACCAACTTTCTTTGGTCTGTGCTCAAATTTCTGTATTTTGCTACGTGCCAGTTCACCTGTATGCTGAATGTAGAGCTACATGGGTAGAGCCACCAAGCAAACACTGTATAGATAAAGATAAGAGGCTAATAACCTGAAGGTGAGGCTGTCTTGACTTGATGGTTTAATGTTACATTCAGAAAGGTATAGGTATATCTTCTGTGAAATGGTTATTGCAGCAATCAATATAGGGTCAAATAGGAGGCTTGGAGCTCTGATCTTTTTTACTTTCTATTCAGTTAGTGGCCTCAAGCAAGGACATGTCCTGCATGCAGAAGGGCCCAGGTAGATGGAGAATACTTATAATCTGTTTCCTGAATTTCTCAAGATACCCGTGGTTTCCCACAATATATGACTATCAGTCGAAACCCTTGGAAGATATACAGAGTGACCCAGAGTGTTTGATGCGGTATATGATTAGTAATTGATGATATAAAGATTGAAAGCTAATTCCTGGCTTGTACACTGCTGATTATCACAATGCATTCTACTTACATCAGTGGTTCTCAACCTGTGGGTTGGGACCCCATTTGGATCCCAATAGACTCTCTTGAATAGAGTCTAATTCTATTGGCTTTCAAAAGCCAATAGGAATTGTCCAGGCTGTCTCTGCCCTGCTGAGCCCGCCAAAAGTCCCATTCTGCCAACGGTGCTGCACCAGTTGAGTAGTCCTCGACTTACGACCGATTGGGCGTCGCGGCATTAAAAAGGTTGAGAACCACTGACTTACATGCTTGATCCAGAAGCTACAATGTATGGCAGCCAAGTTGCTGATCGAAGCAGTAGGGAATTCAAAATGGAGTGTACAGGATTTTCTTCTTCAGTGTCTCCTACAACTATCACAATTCTGTGAGGCAAGCAAAGCTAAGAGAGGCTGACTGGCTCCAAGTCACCCAGTGAGCTTTTATGCTTGAAAGTAGACATCAATTTGGAACTCCCCAGTGCTAGCTCAGTAGCTTAACTCATATACCTTCCTGGCTTTGCTTCTGATGTATAAAGTATTAAACAATTTATGGCCAGAATAAATCGAACAGATTGCCTTCTAATCTGTTCCCACTAAAATCCACAAAATGCTTATTATTACATTTTTATGGTCCTTGTGGAGGAATAATCTCACCATTCAAACCCTCTCTATGTGAATATTTTTTTCCTAGTTTTCTTTTTCCATTTCAGTGTACATGTTTTTATATCAATTTCATTATCTTTAATACCCGCCTTTGCATATATTTTTTATTTATCTTATAAGTTGCCTTGAGACGTAATTGCATAAATGGTGTAGATATATACTAAGTAAAAACAATTGTATATCTTAGAAAGATTACTTACCATGACCTGGGTGTTTTAGAATATTGTAAGAAGACTGCTTAAACGCACACATGCAACACACTTGTCTTTTGGAAGTTCCAGCTGCAGTTAATGTTGCTTAAGCAGGCTTTTGTTCAATTTGGGATCCTGCCTTGAGACAAAATCCAACATTACACGAACAGATTTTCACTTCTGCTCTGGGACTTGCTCATCTGTTCTGTTTTGTTCTTCTTCCAACCTGCTGTTGAGTTTCCCAACTACAAAGAGCAGGTTGGTTTTTTTTTTACAGCATATGTGGGGCTGCAGGAGAAAAGGAGAATTGGCCCCTTTTCTGTTTTGCTGGCATGAGATTTTCACCAGCAGAAAAAAATTACCAAAATGGTATTTCTGGAATGTTACTGTTACTACATATGGAATTAGAGTCAATTCTTTGGCCTTGAAGAAAAAAAAAACCTCAAGAAACTGTTAATGGAATTCAGGAGTGGTACAGGTAGTCTTCGAGTTACTATCACAATTGGGTCCAAAATTTATGTTGCTCAGTGAGACATTTGTTAAGTGCCCCATTTTATGACTTTTCTTGCCACAATTGTTAAGTGAATCATTGCATTTTGTTAAGTTAGTAACATGGTTAAGTGAATCTGGCATCCCATTGACTTTGCTTGTCAGAAGGCCGCAAAAGCTGATCATATGACCCCAGTTGCCAAGTATCTGAATTTTAATCACGTGACCATGGAGATGCTGCAATGGTCATAAGAGTGAAAATGGTCATAAGTCACTTTTTTCAGTTCCATTGTACCTTTGAAGGGTTGTTAAATGAACTGCCGTAAGTCGAGGACTACCTATACTATATCATTAACATAGCCTCCCCCCCAAAAAGCTAGAATATGAAAAGCACTAAAACCAATTAATCAACGCAACAGTTTGTTTTCTGGAGTTGTGGGTGCTCCATCACTAGAGGTTTTCAAGAAAAGATTAGACAGCCATTTGTCTGGGATGACCTAAGGTCTCCTCTATTGAGCAGGGGGTTGGACTAGAAAAACTCCAAGGTCTGTTCCAGCTCTATGATTGTATGGTTTTATGATTCTATGAAAGTATGGGCAAAAAGGTGAGCAAGTGAAGCTATCATTATCTGCTGCTTTCATGTTGGTTGTTTTATTTTTGATCCCAAAGAGGCTAAAGGGGATGTGACCAAAAGTTGAAGGCAGTGGGAATGATGTGCATTTCTAAAACATCAAGTTGAAGTCTAATAAATACTGCATGAAAGCAATACTTGGCTTGCGTAAACAGAGAAATCCCCAAATCGACTGTCACTCCTGTAGCTATATCATCCATGATGATGTATTAAATCTATGGATGGGGGGGGGGAGTGGGGAGGTAAGGATGCCGAGAGAGCATTGCTAGTAATAATAGATCTCTGCCAATGCATAAGAGTCAGAGCACTTTCTTTGGCTTCAATAGAAATGGAGGGAAACAGAGATGGTAGTAACTTTGAAATTTCAGCTTTGCCAGTGACTCAGGGTTCAGCCAGGCCCCTTAAATTTGGGAGCCTATTATCTTGTTTCCGCACACCTCATGAATCAGCAATGTAATCTGCTCATGGCAGACTTGAATAAGTTCATCATTTCCTGTCAGGAAACTGTCAGAAAATCAGTAGATGCCTGATTGTGAACTTGTCAGGGCGACAAATCGGGTAAACTGATAAAGAGAATGTTTTCTGTTTTCACATTGCACCCAAGTACAGCACTACCAAAGGAGAGGCAGGTTTCTCAGAATGGAAATGATTTCCATGGGGAATGAAAATATGAACCAGTCCTAATGGCTTCTAATGTGAAAAGTTTAGTGCTATGTCTCTTTCTTTTTTCTCTTACCTCACTATTTTTATCATTCTTTTTAGCTGTAGATAGAGAAATCCATGCAGCATCCCACACAAATGAGAAGTTAATTCAGCTCTTCCGGAACAAAAGCGAATTCACATTTCTGACCACCATACAGCAGCAGGCATCAACTTCTGGAGTTATTCTGTCCATACGAGAGTTGGAACACAGGTAAGCAGGAAATCTGTCTAAATAACTGATGGCATCAAAATGTGTTATGATGGCATTACATTACAATCACAAAACATGATGTTTCTGTTGTAATAGATTCCTGGATCACTGTTTTCTCTTGTTAAAGTTGCAGGAATGTAGTGTCTTCAAAATGTGTTCTTTATGTCTGCATGGCACTCTGCCAAACAGAGAAATACACTAGGCCTATAAGCCTGTTTTTTTATTTTACTGATATGCCATTTTTATTTATTATGCTCAGTCTATAGTTTATTAGCTGTTATTCAGAAAAATTTAATGCAAGGCAGTTTATCTCAAGAAAAACTATCGTGTGAATAATCCATAAATACTAAACCGTAACCATAAAAAATTAACTTTAACATTTAGTGCACCGTATTAAGAATAACAACATCAGAAGAGAAACAGATTGGATTCACTTACATCATTAGTGCCACAGCCAAGGGAAAAAAGGAAGTTAAATTTCTCTATTAAACTAAGGGATGGGCTAGTATTTGAAGTAGTGTTCTTTCAGAAGTAGATGATATTCCTTATAATGAACAGTCCAAGAGCTGAACATGTTATTGGGTTACCAGGGAATGACCAGGGACATGGTACTTTCTAGAGACCTATATTAGGTTTCTTACCTTTAAACGCATTTATGCTGGCAATACCAAAAATCATAAGACTGGACAACCATTTGTCTAAAATGGTATAGGATTTCCTGCCTGAGCAGGGGATTGGACTAGAAGACCTCCAAGGTCCCTTCCAACTCTATTATTATTATTATTACATGGATCATCGCACAGTCAGCCAGATGTTTAGACTGGATTTGGCATTTTGTCTACCTATCGAGTCCTTACCCAGGACCTGGGATAGGCAGATGTGGATGTTTGATGGTATTACAGATATCATCGCAGGATGGAAGCAGTTCCTAGTAAGGCCGCCTTTTGCAATTGACTAATAACGAATTTGTCAATGCCAATGGTGTTCAAGTGGTGCTCCAGTTGTTTTGGGATTGCACCCAAGGAGCCTATTACTATTGGTACTACCCTTGCTTGCTTTTGCCAGTCTTTCTAGTTCTATTTGTAGGTCTTTGTATTTTGTTATCTTCTCCAGTTCTTTCTTTTCTATTCTGCTATCTCCAGGCACTGCCACGTCCACTATCCAGACTTTTTTGTCTTTCTTATCGACAATTGTTAAGTCTGGGGTGTTATGTTGCAGATGCTTGTCTGTCTGAATTCTGAAGTCCCAGAGCAGTTTAATTTTTCTATGACTTTCTCTATTTTATGATCCCACCAGTTTTTGCAGAAGATATTTTTTACAGATCTTCCAATGCACCATTGTTGCTACTTTATCATGCCGCTGCCTGTAGTCAGTCTGTGCAATCTTCTTGCAACAGCTTACCAGGTGGTCCACTGTTTCTTCAGCTTCTTTGCATAGGCGGCACTTACTGTCTGTTGCTGTCTTCTCAAGTTGACTTTATATGCATTTGTCCTTAAGGCTTGGTCTTGTGCAGCCAGAATTAGTCCCTCGGTCTCTTTCTTCAATTTTCCTGCTCTTAGCCATTGCCAGGTTTTATTATTATCTGCTTTCCCAGCTATTTTTTTCATGTATTGGCCATGTAGTGCTTTGTCTTCCCATGCCTCTATTCTGTTCTTCATTTGGTCTTTCTTGTAGGCCAGTTTGGTCTCTCCAGTAGTTAGTAAGCCTTCCTGATATACTAATTTCAGTGCATCTTCATCATTGTTCTTCAGATATTCTTCCAAAGCCATTTTTCTTCTTCAACCATCTGATGTACTTGTAGCATTCCACGCCCACCTATTTGCCTTGGTAGATAAAGTCTATCAATGTCACTGCGTGGATGAAGGGCATGATTCATTGTCATTATTTTTCTGGTCTGCCTATCCATTGCTTTTAGTTCTCCTTGAGTCCAGTCCACTATTCCAGCTGTGTACCTAATGACTGGGATTGCCCAGGTGTTGATTGCCTTTATGGTATTTCCTCCATTGAGTTTGGACTTTAAGATCTTCTTCACTCTCTTGATGTATTCACCTCTAATCTTTTTCTTGACTTCAGTGTGCTTGATGTTGTCAGCTTGAAGGATACCCAAGTATTTGTAGTAATCTTCCTCATCCAGACTCTTAATGTTATTTTCATGGGGCATCTTGATTCCTTCAGTTTTCACTACTTTTCCTTGTTTGTTGTTGTTGTTGTTGTTGTTATTATTATTATTATTAAAGCAATACTAAAAGCTTCTTTTACTTTGTGATGATATAGTTACCTCTCCCATATCTAATCAAATCAACCCTTTTTATTATGGTCTTTGACCAGCCTTTACATTAAAAAGAGAGTTTGAACCAACCATTTGTTATTGGGAAAGTTAAAATATAGGACAATAAAACAAGATGTCTAATTAAAAGTTGTATAACTTGGTGAAGATATTTGACCAAGTTGATATTTGATATTTTAAGGGTTAGCATGCCTTAAAAATGATAAAATAATAAATAGAAAATTTATCGGTGTAGCCCTCATATTTGGAAATAATTGGGATGATCAGAAGATGTCCTGGGGCATCATGAAAAGGACGCTGTATGAATGAGTGTTTCTGTTTCTCTGGATTGTATAGATACCCTGTAGTAGATGGCTTTTCTCTGTTTAACATTTAATAATAGAATTGAAGGGGTCAATCTTATGCACAATAAAAGTATTTCTATTTATTTTAATAGATTGAGGCAGAAGTTAGAACCCTTTTATCATCATGCATGCTTCATGATTGACTTCATGGATATTAAATTTATAAAAGTGGGATAGTCCTCTATTTCTTGCTTTAGTTCATTTTATATCTTGTTTTTTTAAAAACTAAAAATTAGATAATTGTTAAATGTACTTGAATGACTTTTATATAACAGCTTGCTTAATCTAAATATAATAATATATTTTAGAGGTATTTTTATACTCTTGGAAAATAAAATGTCATTGTTCTATCAATAGGATTAGATTTGAAATGAAATGTAATTAAGAGCAGAATATCAACAGATACTGCTAGGATATCTCAATACATTTAGAGACCATCAGAGAAAAAAAGAACCCCGTTGTAAAGAAAGCCAAGTATCAGATAGATGAATGAGGTGGAAATAAAGATTTCTAATTTGAGCCCTTGATCCTTGCAATTAGCAGTTTTTATCATCTGAGGATATGGTTTTGTTTCACTGTGATTAATTTAATACCCTTAGGTTGTATCAAGCAAGGATCCTAAATACGTTTTTAGTAATACATTTCATTGAAACAAAGAGATTTAGGCATGTTGTTATTGTACAGCTGCTGAGACAGGAACATTATTTCTGTACTCTACTCCTTTAGATTGTGTGAAAATTCATAGGAAATTAAAATGAATGCTTGGCAAAAAAGAAACTCTAAACAATGGATAAGAAATATATCTATTCTTCAGATAGCTGTGGATTGCAAATCTACTTCGCTCACATGGACAATGGTAAAAATGGTGAAAATTAGGATGTATTACACCTGGATATGTATTCATTCTCCAAATCAATGTAAAGATGTATGTGAAAACCTGTTGCAAATGTAATCCTTTTTCTAAATTTCCAGAATGTACGGCTCGTGGATAAATTGAATTTTCTCAAGTTGATGGTTATGAAAAAAAGAGAACATTAAACACAGAATTTTTTGTGGCCGATCTTAGAAATCATACTGTTCACAATAATACATTACAGTACATATTCTGGTGCATCTTTTATGTTTACATTTAAACCCCCACTGGAAAATAATTTTGAATCTGTCCTTTTGCTTCTATTTTAAAACAGTGTGTTGTGCACACTATCATTGAGACAAAAGATACTATATTTATATGTTTTTAATGGAAGCCTTTTTTCTGCATTTGTTCTGCAGAAACTCCATGCAACTCTAATATGTATATGAAAGTATAAGTGAATATACTTTCCTAAACATATAATAAATGAGTGTACATGTGAATATATAGCATTAGACAGCCTTCCAAAAATCATTGTACAGATGGATTTTGTACAGTGAATCTTACATTGGTTGGTTTCCTAAGTCCTAATATGGTTTGACTTGCTTCAGAAAGTTGTATGAACACTGGTCTCTGGAATTTGTAAAATATAATCTGTGACCTAACATTTTGTATCAATCCACTTGAGTTTTTTTAAATGTTTAACTTAACCATGGTTTACCAGATTATGAACCAGGCTAAATGATTACAGCTATATAGTCAGTTTTAATTTTAAATTTTATTGACCCCCAAACAAGAGAAAAAATAATACATGTGAAGTAAAGCATAAACACTAAAGGAATATATTAAAATATAAAACTGTAAGTAAAATTAACTGTTATTGCACTATTAAGCATCAAATTGCTTAATTAATTTGGTCATCCTTCTGGAGGCCAGAAATGGCTGGTCTGAGAAGAATGTTCTCGTCCTCAGAGCTACCATAACTCTGAGTTAGCAGAAGCTTTATTAGGTCAGTTCACCAAACTCCAGAAAAAAACAAAACCAAATGATTCTATTTTCCCAACAGAGAGCAAATTCCCTTCCAGCAGTGAGGATGGCAAAACTTTAAACTGAATGAGAGCAAAAACTCTTGTGTGAGTTGGCCAAAAAATATTAGAAGAGGAAGAGAACTTTTCAAAAAGATATTCCTTTTACAAGGCATGTGGTTCTGCTTAGGTCATACTGAATATTGTTGTCAAGAGTCTGTTCTTCAGCTCTACCAGAACAAGTGAAGTCAAGTGAGAAAGGTTAATTCAAAGAATTTTAAAATCTAGTTCAATGCCTAGCTTCCATGGTAACAGAAAATTTTCCTGTAAGTTTTCCTATAAGGCGAGGGAAGCTTAGGAGCTTCCAGTGAAAATTAGTTTGAGCCAAAAATTCAGGTGGCCAAACCACATATGAATTTCTACAACATTAGTCCAGATTAATCACAAAAGAAAATTAAATACATTTTGAGAAACTTGCAACTATGTTGTAG